GGAAAAAGAAAAGGAAGTATTGATGAAATTTTAATGAAAATAACCTGTATATACCTGTTCTAATGATATGGTCCGCCATCTTGGATTTTGGCCAATGACGTCATCAAATAAGCATAAATTATGCATATTTAATGATAACATTTACATAAAATTATATGGGGTGTTATTAATATTAGAAACCATGAGTAACTTGACATAAAACCCATAAAATTCTATTGTTGAAACAAAAAGTACTAAATTTAGCAAAAAATGCCTGTCAGAAACCCGTTGCCATGGCAACACAAAAAATTATTATCTTAATCCAATGATAGAGAATTGTTGCCAACAATATTCTAGGAAAAGTCACCAAGTTTGGCCGTTCTACGGCTAGCCGTTCAGACGCTAGGTGACATCAAAGTTGCCGCGGGCACTTTTAGCCCCCCCCCGGTCTAGGTAGGGTTAAGTTGATATACTTACTCTAACTGTGTATTCTGTTGCTGGAACCAATCCCTCATAGTTAACTCGTAGAGCATTTCCTGGGTACACTGTGTTATCAGCAACCTTTATAAAGCCTCTGAATAGTTCCACTTGATAGTACAACAGTTCTCCATTCAGGGCTTCTGGTTCCTCCCAGGTGGCCAGGAGGACAGTTGAAGAAATGTTACGGAGCTGTAGAGACCTAACTGGTGTGGGATCTATAATAGATGCATTATTGTAATAAATGTTATTGATTCAAACAACCAGCAATACATACAAGCGATTGCTGTTTTTGTATATTCATAATCATATACACGCAAATTATTTGAAGACGTATTCAAACCATTGGTAGGCAAATTAGCCAACTGTCACCTGTGATTCTGTAAAGTCTATTCCTATATATGTAACTATAAGTATAATGTATTGTTTTTACTTCAGTTTAATAACAGCATTTTTACACAATGAACTCCATAATAATATGCATACATCACATCGCTGATCAACAAACAAGAACAATAAAGAGAAAAAACATTTTGCATTCAAAATGGACAACAGAAAGGACAACAAACTCACTGTCAGGGTTAAATCTGTCCACACAGGTCCTTCCTGTACAGGGGTTAGACAGGCACTCATCTAGTTCTGTAGAGAGAGGACAACATGTTTTAAAGGGGCATTGTGTAAAATTGAAATATTTCAAGAGAAATAATGACATGGGACATAAGAATCTACTTTTAGAAGGGCAGATGTTACAAGAATGTTCAGCTATATATATAGCTATATGCAGGGTTCAGTATGCTTGAAAAAATAAAATATAGTGACGTTTGGGATCACATTTTTGACGAAACATGATACTAAACTTCATCACAGTTAGTTCCAGTCCATCCAGGTGCACCGTCGCAGCTGTAGGTGGCGCTGCCTGCAGGTGGCGTGTTTGCACAGGTGGCACCGTTCTTACACGGCTGGCTCACACACTCGTCTACATCTACAGCGGGGAGTGGAGGAAAAATACTTTGAAGATGACAACAGATATTTCCGGCAGATTTTCGCTACAGTAAAGGGAAATGAGCATTTTAGCCATTCTGTGTAAGACGAGCATAAAGATAAAGCATGCTATGCCTTTGATGCACCAGGGTATTAGGTAGAGTACTTACCAGTAACAATAGAATTTCCCCTGATCCAGAACTTAACAATACTAAAATAACATGCTACGAAATATGAGTGAGAATTGAACTATGAAATATCAGAAAGCAAGACAAAAAGTACTAGATCTAGAAGTGCATCAGTTGTATTTTCCAACTTATTTTTTTGACAAGATTTTTCTGACTTGTTTGAGATACATCCAATCTTAATTCAAATATGCTGATGGCTTTGACACATTGCTTTCAGCTCTTGTTAAACATACCATCCTGACAAGACAGCCCTGTCCACCCCTCCTCACACCCTCCATAAAAACACCTCCCATCCTCAAGGCTACATTCATCTGGTAACCTACAGTGGCAGGTTTGGGTACAGTCTGCACCGAACTTCCTGTCACCACAAGCTAAAAACACACAAAAAAGGAAACAATGAAAATGATGAGACAAAAACAAGCCTGAAATATCTTCATTTTCCATGTCTTTTTTCCTTACACTATTCCTTTGGTTGAAAATTGATGGTTGTTTTTTTAAAAGTATAATTGTGGTTTCTAAAATTATAAGAGCATATTACGCCTTTCAGCGTAACACACCAGCTTCGCAGGCACACGGCAGGGCAGCAGCTGGCTACACTACACCAAATGACTTGTTACACCTAACTTTTGACCATCTTATTCTGAACATTGTTTAAACTTAAAGCTATCTAATGATGATGCCCCTACTGTACATGGCGACAGCGAGTTCCACTCTGCGATAGTGCTAGGACAGAATGAGTTTTTGAACACCTCAATCCTTGATTGATAACTCTAATACTTGAAGGCATGACTACTTCTTGTTCTTTTCTGAGCTGGTATACATTAGGTACTTAGTAGTTGGTACGTCCACCAATTTATTAGTCATTTTGTACATCATGCATTATGCTTCAAACTCAATTTGTATTTAAAACAACCATATACCTGTCTGACACTGTCCACCTCGGTACCCAGGGGCACAGTGTGGCCCAGTAGTGGAAGGACAGAAACCAAAAGTCTTGTCTGCAGTCCTCACCATAAAAACCATCACCACATTCTTTTACAGGTTACAAAAAAGAAAAGCAGAACAGAAAGGGAACAGAAATAGGTATTATGGTAAAATATTATTACAAATCAAGCAATTTACTACTATTTACAAGTTATTACTGTAATAAGAGAAGGGCATTAAGGGTTTGAATCTGAATGAAATGAAGGAAGGCAGAAATGAATGAGATGAGAAAAGAGAATACCTGATATTTGTAGAAATAATGGAATCACACATGTACATTGTAATTGACCTAAAACACACTCATCCAGCACTCTACTAAGTACTTTTTTGGGTAAAAATAGATAGAGTAAACCACTTTTGTAGATACTAGTCCACTATAGCTAGAAGGAGTTACTGTCTGACATTGTACGTCTCATATTTACAACCATATACCAATCTGACACTGTGGACCCTGGTACCCATGGGCACACTGTGGCCCAGCATCCATCATTGGAGCAGTATCCACAGTGTTGTCTGCAGTCCTCACCATAAAAACCATTACCACATTCTAGTTACAAAAGCACAACAGATATAAAGGGAAGAGAAATAGGTATTAGGATAAAATATTATTGGAAAGCAAGCAAGATATTAAGTACTGTAATTAAGAGGAGGGCATTAGGACAAAGGTTTGACCCTGAGTGAAAAATAAAAGAAGAACTGAGTTTTTGGTTTCACAGTACAGTACCCATATCCTTTTTATTCCTGAAACATCTCTCAGTAGCACAATGTTGTAGTATGGTAGTACTCCTGAGAGGAAGGAGATAAGAGGAAGGCAAGGATAACAGATAAATAAGGAAATGGATGAAGGAAAGAATGAATGAATGAGATAAAAGAGAATGCATGATATTTGTAGACATACACGTAAATTCTCTGTGCAACTACACAATAATGTATATTTGTGACCTAAAAAAAACACCCATCCAGCATACTACTAGTACTAGTAGTCTACAGTACTTTTCAGGTAAAAATAGATAGGCCAATTTTGCTAAGATAAATTATAGTATAGTATAGTATAGAGTTACCTGTCTGACATAGTATACCCGTATACCCTGGGCCACATCGAGGGCTGTTGTAGGGACAGTATCCAGAAGACTTGTCACAGAAAGCACCATTAGCACAATGGCCACAAGGTCTGCAGTCATCACCATAGAAACCATCACCACATGCCTCTAATAGTTTAAGTACAGAAAAAGAAAAGAGAATTTAATGATACAACTTAGAGGAAACCTTAAGAGAACCCAAAGCCAAAAAAGCATCAGGAGAACACAGTAAAGTAAAGGGACTGTATGGAGCTGTGGGGAACACAGTAAAGAACAGGGACTGTAGACAGCTGTGGGGAACACAGTAAAGTACAGGGACTGTAGGGAGCTGTGGAGAACACAGTAAAGTACAGGGACTGTAGGGAGCTGTGGAGAACACAGTAAAGAACAGGGACTGTAGGGAGCTGTGGAGAACACAGTAAATCACAGGGACTGTAGGGAGCTGTGGGGAACACAGTAAAGTACAGGGACTGTAGGGAGCTGTGGAGAACACAGTAAATCACAGGGACTGTAGGGAGCTGTGGGGAACACAGTAAATCACAGGGACTGTAGGGAGCCGTGGAGAACACAGTAACGTACAGGGACTGTAGGGAGCTGTGGAGAACACAGCATTATCTAAATAAAATATATACAAATATATCTAGCATACCAAGACTAAATATGCTACTGTACATGTTAATTATATGGTTCTTCTTTTCTTGTAGAAAACTGTAAACGATATGTAGACTGTAGAAACGCCTACTCACCGGTAAAAGCGAAGGAGACACATAAAAAAATCAGAAAGAGGACGTTTCCTGTCATCTTTTTTTCATAATCGTTTCCTCCTCTGAACCCAGTCAAGGTTGGAAACTTGTATCCTTTCTCTGACGAAAGTAGTTCCCTATCTTTAATTACCTAACATCTAGCACATTTTCTGTGATTATTTGATCTCGATATTTATTTGTATCGTGATTGTGAATAATATCACTAGGGTCCATAATATCGCCACCTTGATAAACAGTGTGCTTAGTGATATTTTTACTGCAACATACTTTTGGTATGCACTCCTTTACACATCAAATGTACATACCTAGGGTATATTGCAGTAAAATATCTTTCAGCACACTATTTCTCAAGGTGGCGATATTATGGACCCTGGTAATATTATGGACACAGATACTAATTGCACCACAAGTTCCACTGACCGCTACTTCATTGTGACACAGGAATTGATTTATGACGATGATTTATTTATTATTTATTTATGATGACTAAACTTCTACATATATGTAAAACTTTTTTTATTCCAACATGTAATCACCAGGCGTGGTGACGACACACTCAAGTTTTTTCACTCAACTGATACTCATGCCGCCATCAACACAGGGGACAAATACATGACAGGACAATACTCATTTACAATATACACCTGAGCTAAGTGAGGAAAGTCGTATGAGTGAAAGTGCCTTTCCCAAGGGCACAATATCGGTGGCATGTCAGGACTCGAACCCGGGACTCTCAGTTCCAAGTCGCGCACTCTGCCGCTACGCCACACGACCCCACATGTTAAAACTTAAGTGACATACGGTTTGTACGACGTAAGATTGTCATAGTTTGTACGATTGTAAGATAGTAAATACCTAAATTTTTCGAACCAAAGTGATATATTCATCTGTAGATTCCGATATGATTGTAATTTGTATTTCCCTATTATTGATGACTTGTATTGTAAACAAACATCAAAATTCAGCCCTGTATGTCAAGGCTGCGAGATATAGTGTTGACATATTGATACAAATAAACCAATAAATAACAACAAAACTTACGGGTCTGGCATATAGTAGGTTGAAACAAAAAGGCGAATAGGACAAGGTGAAACATAGTTCTGCTGTCCGTACGCCGCTGGCTTCCCTTCTTCTGAGGCAGCGCTAAAAGCAAACATACAATAGTCAAAATATCTGAATGTGGCAATCTTGGTTTAGAAACGATCCCTATTGACTTGTGCAGTGTTCAGAGACAAAATGACGAGGCACTGACGAGCAATGACGAGTAATTGATCACAATGTAACAACTTTTGACTATTGTGTACAAGAATTTGTACTCATGTGGCATGCTTTACTGATATTCAAGTTTATGGTCATTGGTATGAAAAATGTTTTTGCCTCCATGAAAAATGGAGGAATTGTTTTAGGCGTATCTGTGTGTCTGTGTTTGTGTTTGTGTTTCCGCACATCTGTAGTCAACATAACTTCAGAACACCCGAAGTGTGATGATATTTGGCATGCTGGTACATGTAAGTCTTAGGAAGACGATGGTCAAGGTCAAATATGGGCCTCCTTGGTGCTGCAGCAGAACTTCCGGTTTTTGTATCTTTTATCCTGAACATGCTATGGTCTTGACTTTTTGGTGACAGCTTTTCCTGTCAGGAATTAGTGCTGGTCACCCTAGCCGTTTGTTCTGGAACTGCATGGGATTTTCTGGCAAAACCTTTAAAAACCAATAAGTCTAGACGGGAACCACGTATTTTCATAATTTTTTGAGTGTGGGTAGCAAAGAGAAAGTTGTACATGGTTATGCAAATAAGGACTTAATTTGCATAATTAAGGAAGAATTTTATAATTACAGTGTTTACATAATTATAGAACTTTTATACATGTAGTACTTTTATACACGGATCTGAATTTCCTCTATAACAAAGCAGCCACACACAATTCCAAAACAAAACTAGAAAGGCCGACATTTGCTTTGGATCAAATTCAGCATGACTTCGCCACATTTCATGACATGGCAGAGAAAGAAGGAGGAATACAAGTGAAAACAATGCTTTATATTGATATAAATATAGTATGAAGTGACATATAAGAATGCAACAGTTGGATAGCTATCCCCTATATTATTGGTTAGGATTTATTTGCATGATGCTGTTGATTTTCAAGATTTAAAAAAGCGTTATGCCCCGCATTTCAATGCTTGAGATGGAAAGCTTGACATACCTACCCCAAGACACTTGAATGCAGTTCAATATTGTCAATATGGTATGGTTGTGTGCAGCTGTTAATACAGTTAACCCAATTAGATATCAACAGCCAATCAGCAAGAAGAATAGAGGAAAGCAGCTTATAAGTTTAAAAACAGTAACTTATACTTAAAGTTGGCGGAGTAAAAAGCAGAGATAAACAAATGTTTATTTTAACCCTAAACAGTACACCTGGGGTCACCCACAAAGTTGTCGCTCAATACAATGCAGAAAAGTCAGTTTCTTAATTTTTTTTAAAATTCTTATATCTGATTTTCTTTTGGGGTCCGCGCGGACCCCAGCCGGCTTTCGATCGTAACTGGCGTTCTTATACGTCTTATACACTGAGAACGAGAAAAACACAGGCCGATATGGATTATGTAAATTAATACTTAATTTGCGTAATTAATGAGAAAATGTTATACTTCATCAATGGTAACTGCCTGAAATTTCATACTTGAAAGGGTATTTGAAAGTTAAGTGAAGGTGAACATAATTAAACATAACTTATCCAAAAAAGAACCTAATTTTCATAATTTATGAGGAAATGCTAAAATGGCATTCTTTGTTAATTGGCATGAGGATCCTATTTGCATAATTAGGGAAAATAATCTATAATTTGTCAGTCATTAAGATTAACAACATTTGGCGAAGGTATGAGATCGTGGAACAGTTGTGTTATTCTACTATTGTATTATTGTGCGAAAAAATATCTACTTCTGATGTTTTCTTTCGCACAGCTGTTTAGACTTCTTACTTCTTTGATTTTCCTCTCTTCCGCAAAAAAAATCGTGACGTGTGCCCTTCCGTATCCTGTTCCTGTCGCCATTAATAAATAATCCGGTTAACTTCATTGCCCCCCCCCGAAACTAAATCCACCAACACAATCACACACACAGAAAGCTTGACAATGAAAAGAAATATATCTAACCCTCCGCTCTTGTGTAACACACAAGTTATAAGTGACACGGTGTAGCAACAGTGTGTTAGAGTGTCAATACAAAATGTACGTTTTTACTAGTATCCATGACAGTTGGATAGTACTCTCTGTCACCATTACTTTCTTGTACGAGCTACAATTATATTTCACGAAGCAACTGTACCTCTCAATACTTGTACATACCGATAGGAAGAGGCTTCTGATCACTGAAGGACTTACCTAGCACAAACACGGTGGTAAAATCTGGGCTGCAAAGTTCCCACATGTCATAGAACCCGAACTGTGTTCGATCGTGTTCGATCTGGGGAATTCGAATCGAACCCGCGTTCTATTTCGGGGTCACCTGCGGTCATTTACTATAAAGCGGCAAAACAAGCCTTTCTACCTCCGTGCATTGCAACAGATAAAAAACAACACTTTTCTATAGATACAAACAGTTTCCTGGACAGTACATGTCCGCTATTATTTTTGGTGGACATGTAACATGTAGCGAAGCTACTGTCGTATCCTTGAGTGACCTTGAATACCGTAATGATTCTTTACACCAGTATGAATAACACAATGCACACTTTCTGGCGATATGACATGTCTCCAAA